TTTTATATTGGTTGTTATTTGTTAGCAGTTATGATGTAAACACCAAGGGCAGATATGTCCTTTCATGTAACTAACATAACCTATATATATTAACTTAAAGTGGCGGCGGCAGAATATTGACATTTTGTTCTTCTCCTCAAAATCTGTGTTCTATTGCTCTTCCATCACTCTTTCTTCTACATCTTTTTCACTTTCTCTTCTCGTCGAACCTAAAATCTCTTAGTGATCAAGACTGAATAGCAGTCTTGAAAACCTACACTAGGTTCCCAGACTGCATCTGTCATAGTTTATTTTTATTTGGTTTAGGTTCAATGAGGATCAATAACATTGTATAGTTCAAGGTAAAAGATCAAACATATATTTATAAACAGAATGTGAAAATCTGGTACCATAAACCCATACCCAGGCAAGCAATAAAAGGTAACAATATCAATGTTGAAAACCTCACAATACGTAGAAAAATAGATATGCATGGCGTTTTGATGTATGAACCTCTGCTCAGATTCTATGCTACTCTACTTGTGTATGCCAGAATTTTAATAATAAATTAAATTATTTGCTGTGAGAAGGAGCATGAGTACCTTGAAGTTGGTCAAATCAGGGACCACATAGTTTGGCAATTTCTCATTCATCACAACATATCCACCTGCACCAAAATGCTATAACACATTATAAACAACAAAATGATATTTACTTGCAACAATTGCTAGAAAGTCAAGAGCTAACTCAACAAACATCCAGTATCACAAGCCAAGACTTAGTGGCCATTTAATAATTGCTAAGTTTGACTAAACCGAATTACTCATTACTTTGTCTTTAGTATATACAATATCAATATAATGAAAATACGAAATAATTAGTGGTAAAGTAGTTACCATAGCATGTCATTTGGCAACTAAGGAACCAACCCCCTATGTAATTGTGCATTCACTAAAAAAACAAAAATTATAAGTAATAACCCAATTGAAATGCATATGGGCATATGGGCAGGTGTGCCTGGAAATGATGGGAAAGTTTCCATGACCAAGAAAAGTACCATTCAGCCCTTCGCATTACCACCTCAATGGGCAAGGTTTTGATTTCAAACACACGAGCATTCCTTTGAAATTGCTTGGTAAATAACTAGTAGAGAGGCTCCAAAGAATGTATCTGTTCCTGCTATAGCTACAGATTTCCAAGCAGAAAGCAACCCAAATTCCATGGGTGGTAAGACTTTCCCACAGTAGTGCCAGTTGCCACCACAGTCATGGCTGCATGATTGATAACATTTAATAAAATATTCAATTCTCCCATCTGATATCCTGTGAAACCTTTTTTGACAGTGTCAACTTGTCCACCGGTTGAGGCAACTATTGGGAACATTTTGCATCATATGCATGTAATTGACTGAGATAACCTGGTTAGTGCGTACTTTGGATCAGCACAAAATCAAGTCCGGTTATGATCATATAGACCAGAAGAACACTGAATCCCACAAACCCCTCTAATCTTGTCAGGAAATGCCCTCTCTAATTTCTCAAACTGCTTCTGGATGGACTTTTTTCAGTCCAACGAGTATTATATGAAAGTTCCCTGTCATGTATCTTGGGAATTTCTGCTACTGGAACAGCTGAACATTTTCTGCTCTTTGAGTCTCCAACGAAGCTTCTATCAGGGATTCTTTTATTTTTTGATGAATGATAAAGATTTTATTAGACCAGTAAGAAATATCACAAGGTTACAGAATACATCCAGGAGAGGTGTGAGATGCAGCCCCAGCTGGAAACAAGATTACAACCCCCCCCCATTTTGCAAAAAAATCAGCCATCCCATTAGCTGAACGCCTTTCCCATTGGATTGAAATTGTCTAACAGGGATATTTTGGTCCAAAGCAACCTAGCTTCTGCTTGCCATGCTTCCTTGTTATGGGCCCGGGAATAGGATCTCGTCATGGGTCGGTCCACAGGGAAAACCTCCTGTTTTCCCTTGTTCCTCCCTGCTCTTGATGAACCTATCTTGGCGCCCTAATGGTGATTTGTCCAAGAGATCACCTAACTCTCCTTGCTCTCTTTCTTGACTGAAATTTTCGATATGTTTATTGAATAATATCAGCTCCTTAAA